TGGAAAAAGTTATTACAATCTGTTGTAACGTGATTCCTGTGTTAGTGCTGTGACAGCAATTAAAAGCCAAGGAGGGGGTTGTTTGTTTGGGATTTTTAATTTTTTTTACTTTGGTTCTGGTACAGTTTCCTAAATGGACTTCCAGGTAAGTGGTTCTTGTTGCTAACCATTTGTAACAGGGCTGGAGAGCTACTGAATTTGTAGAAGTTTGAGAAGCTGAATGTACCCTTCTTATATAGGTACACATAATCCTCAAGATTATTGGCTTGCACAAGGGAAATTTGTGTGGACCCATCTGCCAGTCTTTTTAGAAAAGCTTTGGTTTTATCTAGAGGCTAGACAGAGACATCTTTAAGCAGAGAAGAGAGCTAAGAATATAGAGTAGCAGCTTTAAGATGCTCAGTGGAGTTGTTTTTATTTGGGAACAAAATATTGGAAAGGATCTCTTGGGTTGTTTTTAAGCAAGTCAAAGTCATTATGATACAATTCTTGATACTTCTGCTGAAATCAAACCAAGCTGTTCTTTTTCAGTTAAACAGCTAACCCAGTCTGCAGAATGAGACAGCTCTGCATTGAAGGAAATAAATTAGAAATGGCCTTTGAATCACAAGAGCTGTACAGAATTAGAGAGTCTAGTTTCTGCGTATTTAAGAACAACTTGGAGTTTAGCTGTCTTGCCAGACTGCTCACTGCAGTACCTAGATGGCAATTGGTGTGGTGGGAGCAGGGAGAAGCAAAAGGAGGCTGAAAAAGTGCCATTTCCTAATAATCCAGTTGATAGAAGCTTCTGCAGCTTTCAGCATCTTCTGTGCTCATATCAAGTACTGTGCCCCATTTACGTATGCTCTACTGTATTTGATGGCCTGTAGGGAATGAGTTAAGGGGCTAGTTAAGACTCCAGGGAGGACAGCGATCTGTGGTCAGATGTGGTTATCCTTGATCCTTCAAGACATGCAAAAGAAATTAACTCTTTCAAAACCTGTAAAATATTTAATCTTACACACATCCACTATCACATAGGACATACAATACTTCATATTTTTTCTTTCTCTCTTTCTCTTCTATCCTCTGGTACTCGTTCTTTGTGTTCTTTATTCATGGCTGGTTTTCTCTTTATTGAAGGTGCAGCAGTCACGGAAAAGGGAACACAAGCAGGAGGTTAACATGACTGTAGCAAATGCCTACAGATACGCTTGGTACAATCTTAAGAACAAGAAAAGTAAGAAAGAACCATCCTTAGAGCTATGTGAATTGGGTAAATACGGGAAAATATTAAAACTGCACTAGAGTTAGGTGCATAGGGTAAATGTACTAAATATATGCAATTCCATTACCTTTCACTCTAAGCAGTAACAAATTTTCTTCAGCAAAGCTTAAACTGCTTTAGTCTTGTTCTTTGTAAAATTCGTATACAGAGTTGTTCTCAAAGTGACTGGGAAAGCTGTGTGTGTTGTTGTTCACAAGAAAAATAGAGTTTAAATTCACTGATGCGGATGAACCTGTCCTTGGGAGTGTGTTCTGACATTTTGGACACAGAGACTGTCACAGATTTCTCAGGCCTCGCCCAACCCAGCACCTCTGTGAAGGTAGCAAATGGTATGTACGGTTTATGTTTATGTTTGTATCTTGCACTGAAAGAAAATTCTTGGCAAGGCTCGTCATTCTTTTCTCATGTGCATCTCTGTATTATTAAACAAGTAAAAGTAAGTATTGGATTCTGTGCTTATTTATGCTGGTATACATATTTAGGCCAGCTTCTTTGGGATAAACTGCACAAAATACTTCCTCTCAGTTCTGATAGAAATTGCAAAGGCATTTTAATTTTGTGTAGCCAGAATAGTGCAAAGAAGCAGAAAGCAGCAGGGTGAAACTCACAGTATGGTCTGGGGGATGAGTGCTTCTGCCATGAGGCAGCTGTGGAAAAAACGTGACCTTGTGCCGGTGGTTCTATCATGAAATCATAGGGTGGTTTGGATTGGAAGGGACCTTAAAGATCATTCAGTTCCGATCTCCTTGCCATGGGCAGGGACACCTTCCACTAGACCAGGTTCCTCAGAGCCCTGTTCAACCTGGCCTTTAACACTGTCAGGAACGGGGCATCCACAACTTCTCTGGGAAACCTGTTCAAATGTCTCGCCTTCTATCCGAAGCCATATCCTTCTACAAATGGTGCATCCAAGCTGTTTGGCAGGTGAGGTGGCATATCTCGAGCTGCCCAGGTACGTCAGTGCTGTAAATGGAGAAGCTGAACAAGGGAGGACAAAAGCAACCTTCCAGGCAGGCCAGCAGGACTGTACCTGCTGTTCCTCTGTCCTTCATCACACAAAAGTTTTACATCTTCACACTGTTGTGATATCATTATTAAATCAATTTGTTTAAAGAAGAAAATCTTTACGGTAGAAGGAGGGGCAGGTGGAGGGGGCAGCGAGTGCTTTGCTGGCTGCATGCCATGTTCTAAAAGGTCAGTGGCTCTTGTCGCTGTGCTGACCAGTTGCTAGGCTGCCATGGATTTCTGTGCTCCTTTCCCCAGCAAAAAGGACCTTGTGATGAGGTGCAAGGTTATAGTAGTGCCTTTTTAGTAACCTCAGCCACTCCTTTCTGCTGGCTGAGCAGACTGAGTAAGGGAGATGCTGTTTTTTCTTTAGATAACCTAACTGACAGGTTATTTATCCTACTAGATTAAACCCAATGTATTAACTTGGGGAACAGAGTCACTCTTTAGTGAGCTGTCAGGGCACACTGGGTAACTAAAGCTTTCTTGGGGATCAGCAGAATTTGTTGCCACCTTCACCCCACTTACATCTTCTTTAAACTCGGGGCAAAGCACATTTACTTAATGCTTGAGTAAAACTTATCTAGCAAAGGTTGCAAAGTGCAAGAGCTCTTTTATGAGCTTTTCTTTTAGCCCTGCTTTTCTTTAGTCATCTCAAGCAGCAGGAACTTACGTGCACATCTGAGGTGTGTTATAATAACAACTAATGCTGCCAGTGGGCATCAGACCATACACTGCTAAAGGTGGAACAGATATGCAGTTAGTCTTATCCTGCACCAGAAAGGTTAAGAAAAAGATACAGCATGAGAGTAAGCCAAGGTAGGGTTGGGAAGGGGAGGTCACAGTTGCTCAAAGTATGTGCTTTCTGTCTCTTTGACTTCATTTGCAGAGTCTGCAATCTGTGCTGTCCATTATATGCTTAATTAGAAAACAGCACCAGGGTTTAAGTAAATCGAGTTTTCTAACCTCAGAATAAAATTGCCAGATTGATGTAATAAGTGTTTATTAGATATGTGCAGCAACAAGAAAGGCAACTATTTAACTTGCCTATCACTTCAGTGACTATGACAAGCACAGTGCTCCTTGAAGTGAGTGTGAAGTCAAGATGAGGTTTGCACTGGTCCTGCTAAGGGGAGCCTGGATGGCCTATTTCTGTGTTGGTTGGACATTTCTTATAATATGGTTGGTTTTGGTTGCTTGTAACCTCATTAAACATTTCCTGTTCATGTGTATGTTGGCAGGCAGGGTTCTGAAAAAATAACAGCAAGTAATCATGTAACCAAATACCTAATCTATGTTTGCTTAGCCTGGTATGTCATCAAATATTTCCCAAGTGCGTTAATGTACAGTTAAATGTGAACTAGGGTCTCAGGGCCAATCTGAAGCTTGCCTGGGAAGCAGGGCCAGAGATCTAAGCTGAGGTCATGGCGCCCAGCTATTGCTGTTTGTGCATTAAAATTAGATAGGGCTCTGTATGTGGATGTTGTTGACTCCTCTGAAAAATTTTGTGTACATTTCTGCTTATGGAAGGGTTATTGTTATCCCTTCTGGCATTCTTGGAACTTCCTCCTCCACCCTTAATAATCAGAATTTAAAATGAATTCTTCATCTCTCCAGAAGAGGCAGAAAAAGGTACTGCTCAAATCTAAAATAAGAAACCCTGCCTTGCCAAGACTACACAAATGTGCTGCAGATATATGTCTGAATTGTTCAGGATACTCTCTTATATATCATCTGCTTATGCAAACTCCACCTAACTAACTGCTTTACTTGTGATTGCTAGGAAACCTTCAGCAAAGTAATCTGTACTTTTTCAGTGTCCTGTTAATTCATGTGGCTGTGCTGGATTCTTATGGGCTATTCAGTCATTCAGGCATTTGAATATAACATATTAAACTTGCAATAATACAAGTTTACAATTATATAATATAAATGACACAATATAAATTATACAATTATACAATACAAATACAGTTCTGAGGTCCTTAGTGTTAGATGCAAAGTGTGGTGGCCACATGATGCAAAGCACTGGTACTCGCTTTACTTGTTCAAGTGAATTTGGCAGGGTAATATAATGTGAGACTTGATTGCCAAATCAGGATATTTGAGCTATTTGAGCCTCTCTGGCTTCATGTTAGACTGGATATCAGCTTTTTTGTAGCTAGGTCAAATGCAGACACCCAAAAAAGTATTGAATTTTATTTCCCATCTAAGTAGACAGGGATGTGGTGGTGGTTTGCATCAAATTGTATTGCTTGATAATCTGGGCATTCACTGATCCAACAATAAGAATCACGTGATCGTTGCCTTAGCCATCAGATAACTTGTTGATCCAATATTTGCATGTATCTAATAAGACAGTTGCTGCTTGAAGCTATGCAGAAAGGGAGATATAATTGATCCTATTAGTTAAAAATAGAAACTAAGTCATTAGTTCATGTCAGCTGACTCAAAATGTAACATAAACCCCACAAAATTGTTTGTTGCCTGGGTGGAATCCATACATGAGATGTATGGTCTGCTCACAAATTAGCAGCACATGCTGGAATGCAAATACAGAATGTGCGTGTCAAATGGCAAGTTCATGGATGCGTCTTCTGTATCACATGCCTGGCACCTTCTAACTAACTTGAACGCAAACATCTTCAGCGTCCCTCACAGATTTTGTTATACTTGCCTACACATTTGCTACATTAGCCAGGCTGTTGTTCCTTTTTTACCTCAGTTTGTCTGTGTTTGTGTCAGGGAGTTTGTTTCAGACCACAGAAGGGAAACAAAGAGGGTTTGGGTACACACTGGGACTGCTGTGTATTTGTCCTGAAGCAAATGGGTAAGGTCAAAAAATGGACTTTACGCTTCAAGCAAAACATCACAGGGCTTGTGAAGAGGCCAGGGATGTCCTCGGGGTCATGTGAGTACCTAGAGAGACTGCTCAGAAAGCTCTCTCAGCTGCAGCGGCATTTTCTGCTGTGTATTAGAAGGTTGTGGCAGAAAAGGCAAACTGTCCTGGTCTCCATTCTAGAGCTTTCAATGATCTTTTATGTATGTGCATTCTAGCAATGGAGTACTTCAAATATGAGGTTTGAAATTGTAAACTCATTTGGACCTCATTTGCTTTGTGTGGTTTTTCTAATCAGCTATAGGAATGGACTTGTAACGACTGCATCCAGCTGGGACCCTTTAAACTCACTTAGGAGCTGCTGCACCAGGTTTGGTGACTGCTTACAAAACCTCTTGTAACCCCAGCTGTGAATTCATGTTTGATCTGTATGAGCTGCTTTGACCATTGCTATCTAATATAAACCGGAGCTGTATCAGCTGTCCTATTTAAGATGTGACCTATTCTTTATACAGAGAGTGAAGCATTTACATTATCAGGCAGAGCAGAGCACTGTGTATCTCTCCAAAGAGCCACAGAAGTGACAACGAAAGCAGGTCATTAGAGATTATCTTTTTATCATACCTGAGCTCTCTTCTAGTTCATTAGTGCAGGTTATACTGGAATAACACTTCATGCTGCAGCGAAGATCCTTATGAACACAGAGAATAACACAGACTTTGGAAGGCTTTATGATGGAATCTAACTTACAATGAAACAGATGTTTATGACAAGGAGGGAAAAAGAATAATAAAGACAGTATTAGTACATGTTCTAATGCTTGTCATGGGCATTGCTTTAGGCTCTAATTTATTAGAGAGTTCTATACAAATATTTACTTACATATAAATCTTAGCAAAGCCTATTAAATGAAGAGAGAAAATAGAACAGTAAATTTTATTTCCAAACGGTATACAGCATTTTTGGCCTAAAGTAAAATGTGTTGACTAGCACAGAGGCAAAAATAAATGATACTTGAGGAATACATAAAGACCTGGAACAGATAGTTAATGGTAGCTTTTTTTTTAGCTTCTGTAACTGGATAGCAGTATAATATAATTTTGCCATTTTTTGTGGATATTTTTCTTCACTGATATTTTTCAAGGACATTATTTCAACCCTGGTCACCTTAAATCACGTCTCAAAAGCTTTGACAAGCACACATTTTGTTGTGAGGTTACGAAAGGTTGTCTTTGCCATTCACTAGGATGTAACTGCTGGGCAAATCACCCTGAAACAAATGATATCAGACAGAGGACCAAATTCTAATGGCACTTTTGCTTCCAAAAAATTCTGTAAGCTGCGTTTGAAAGAAAGCCCTCACCTTTATGCACTAAAGCTAAAGCAGTATGTCCTAGCCCAGCTGCGCAGGTTACCCTGATGCACTCTCTGTTTTCTCTCATCAGATGGCCAGCAACCCATGTGCCAGGCAGCCAGGGCCTGTGCTTGGCGTGCCAGCCCGAATCAGTCCCTGCCACTAAGGCAGGGCGGAGGGAGGAATCACCCCATCCTGTGCCATGGCCTCGCCGCGGTCAGCCCAGCACGCCGGCCCCCCCGATGGAGGCTGGGGATGGATGATCGTTGCTGGCTGCTTCCTTGTCACTATCTGTACCAGGGCTGTGACGAGGTAAAGGGGCTGCTTCTTGTCTTTCTGATCTGTTTCTAGCATTACATTTTTTTTTCCTTTTTTCTTTTTTTTTTAAATTTATTTTTTGTTTAGGAGGATTTGGGATCTCCCCTGATGTCCCACAGCTGCAGGGGTTAATGTTATTCTGGCTGGGTACAAACCTCTCTCTTGCTACATTTTTAAAGGCTTCCTGAAATCCCCAAGGTTGTGGGGGAGGCTGAGAGATAATAAGCCTTCTGGTTTTAGTCTCATCTCCTCTGACAGCTGCTCTATCTCTCAGCACCATCTCCTTGATTTCTTACAGAATCAAAGCCTGGGGCACGCAGCATTATTTCAGGCTCTGGTGATTTGTTCAGGGAGGGAGAAATCATGTAGGGTCTCTTTGGGTCCGCTGCGTCCCTCTGACCCCAAAGCCATGCTCATTTTTAGTAGTCTCAGTGGATTTCCTTGGCTCCTGAGTTTGGGAAGCCTGTAAATACCCACTTCTCCTACTGAAAGCATTTCAGTTACTGCCCTGCCTGAGAAGGTCCATGCCCTAGAGAGGGGGCCCCTTTCTGTACCCCTCTGGTATCTGAAATATGCAGAAAACATTTTCTCAAAAATACTTCTCAAAAGTAGAAAGAAAAAGAATAGACTGCTGCCCTGCACAAACATAATATATACATTTGGGGTGAGATAGCTTCCGCAGTGACTTTGATGTCAGCTGGAGACAGAGGAGCCTGGTGTGTGTGAACATGGATATTTAAGCTATATTAAGCAGAGACAGAAGCACCCTGGTAAGTGAGAAACACTGAGACAGTGTCTTGTTGGGCAGTCAGTATAATGTAAATACAGTGTTTTATGCCTACATTTTACATTTCTTTTAAAATAAAGCTGCCATGTTTAGGGATCTAAAGTCTAGGGTCTTGGAGTCAACGGCACAAAAGGGGAATGGAAACGTTCACACAGTGTTAGTTTATGTATGCAAAAGTATTAATTCCATAATAACACTAGAGATTTCCTAGTGGATTTAATTCCTTTTTCATGTGTGAAATGTTTTACATCCAAGACGTCATCTAATGGCTGGCACACATTTATAATATCTACAAGAATGAAGAATGTGAAAGAAAAAGGCTGAAGAGAGTGGCCATTCATTGCCGGGGGAAAAGGGATCTCTTGCTGACCCAGAAACCAGACTAAAACTGTACAGCTTTTTAATCTGTTCCCCTGCAGAGACAGGTAGAAAGTAAGACTCATTAAGCAGAGCAAAGTAGTCTCTCCTGGAAGCATTTTAATAAACTGTTGGAAGGTCCGTGTGCTCCTGCTGTGTTTTGATTCTCTGTTCATGAGAAGCTGCTTTTACTTTGCACTTGTGCTTCCACGAACACATAGCTATAGGGATGTCAGCTCTATAGGCCTACTATGCTGGCCCTGCCCAGCCAGTTGGTGCAGATATGAATGCCACTATTAGCAAGCAACCAGGTCAGCAAAACACTGGGGAGCTGGTGTGCAAGGGAATTTGTGTGCAAGGGAAACACCATCATGATGTGGGCTATAAACTGCTGGTGATAATTACAACTTCAATTTCACGTTAGTTAAAAAAATGAGTCTTAAAAAATCTAAAGTCAGATACCACAGTGAGAAACGTGGTATTATAATGTTCAGAATTTGTCTGGAGTAATCTGTCTGAATTAGGTTGTAATTTGGCTTTATTGTCTAATCTCACTGGATTGGGATAATAGTTGGATAGCAATTTGTTGCCAGTGCAAAGTAAGGATTCTTCTCAAGCTGAATCACCCTCGCCTAGGTGCCTTACACAGAGTACTGTTGGAATTATTCAGCTTGCACACATCAATTCATATGTTGCCCCTTATGCATTAAGGTAGCCCTTCATTGTAGCCCTTCGTTCCCAATATCCCTTAGAAACTGTTTAAAAATGTCTCCATTTCTTTGGGATTTAGGCAAATCATAGTTTTGATTTTCCTGGGAGCTAGCGAGGACCTTCTAGTGGGTACTCTTTACACCTGAAGAGCAAGACTGCTGTTTTCTGTGAGGCAAATATCCTATGTTCAAAAAGTTCATGTTTTCTTTCCCAGGTGCATCTCCATTTTTTTTGTGGAGTTCCAGACATACTTTGGGCAAGACTATGCCAGAACAGCTTGGATCCACTCCATTGTAGACTGTGCTACGATGCTCTGTGGTGTGTATTACACTTTTAAGACTAGTATGGTTGCTTTTTCTTCAGCTCCATCTGGTTTTAGCATGTTCACAAGTTGGTGGAGTCAGCTGGGAAACATAGATACTGTGGGCTCTCTGGGGTATGGTATATTCAAGCTGCTTCCTCCAGCATAGCTTTGCAGGAAGGGAGTGTCTTCATACTGCAGAAAAATGCTACAGAAAAGAAGTAGAACTTTGTTTTGCCAAATGATCTAAGTTTCCAGAAATGTACTTTTGTCGAGGTCTAGCGGGACAAGTCATGTTCGAGATCTACTAACTGAGCAGTTGTTTCTCTTACCTTCTGATTGGAACCATACTTGAGACTTAGTACAGGATATAGGTCTTGCCTTCAGATCAAGTCACAGTCTTCCTAACTTGTATATTTACAAGCAGTCTTTTCCCTTAAAAGAAAATTCAGTGTTACTAAAAATGACGTATCAATGCAGTAGTTATACCCAATTTCTCATCCTGTGTAAGAGGGTTAATCCATGAGAAATGCTACAAAGGCACAAGGACACAGCTGGAATGAGACATAGCAACTCTTCTGTGTCAGCCAGGTTATATCTTGAGTTAAAAAAGAGAAATAAGGGTAACCTCGCCCTGGCATTAGAGGTAGGAGAGAGGGATGATACCCCATGGTAGGGGCATGGTGATCTGGGAGCCATCAACGTTGAAGAAGTGCAAAAGAGGGGTAGAAGCCTTGGAGGTGGTCCAAAATGTGTGAGACCTCTCCTGTTTGGGTCTGATGCAGAGCCCACAAGGCCAGAGAGGAGCAAGGAAGGACACCTGAATTTAATGAGGGCTGAAGTGCAAATTCCAGGTAGGGGATGGTCTCAGTGTTGTAAGCATGGAGTAATGGAAGAACGTGAGCTGTTGCTGTGGCCTCTCAGCCACCAGAACTGTGAATTAATTGTGTCCCATAATGACTTTGGTGTACACAAATGGCTGCTGAGAAAGTTACTGTAAATTTCAGTTTTATCCTGACTTTCAGAAAGATGATTTTTAGAAGATTTTGGTGCTCACAGCATTGTGATAGGGGGATGCTGGGAGACGACTCTGTGTATGTGATCATTGTTTTCTGCTGCCTGCCTACTGCTTCCTTTTTTGGTGATGACCACTGTAATGAACTGTGGGTGAGGACCTGCTGTTAACTACCATCTGTATTTGTTCCTTTGAAGCCCCGCTTGGGAGTTTGATCAGTAATCATGTATCCTGCCAAGTTGGCATCATGTTAGGAGGGCTGCTTGCATCTACTGGACTAATTTTGAGTTCATTTGCCACCAGCCTGGAACATCTCTACTTATCATTAGGAGTACTTACAGGTAGGAGGCATTCAGCCCCTTTGTTCTTGCCAGGAAAACAGCACAGGAATGTTAAAAATAATGGTCCTTCCTTTCAAGAAGGGTGATCTCTTCTCCATGTCATTTGCTACCACACTGTTGAATGGAAGTACTCAGAGTTGTTCCCTTCATTGTAAAAAGAGAACCTGCAAGGGTTTCAGCACTCAGTGGGTCTCACACAGCCCAAATGCAGCACCCTAAAAAAGCAACTCTTTTGTTAGAGAGGACTATGGGTGAAGTGCTGAAATCATAGGAGGCCAGGAAGGACTGCTATTGTAGGTGATACACAAAAAGTTTTCCTTTCTTTTTTCCCCTGTCATCTGGGAGGAATTTATTGTAGTAGGAATCCCACATTGTCCAAAAATATTTGCATGTTAAAAAAAATAATCTAAACATAAGAGTAATCAGGCAAAGGTGCACTGGGTGAATACTTGCTTCCTCAGCTGTGCACTTTATTTTTGTCTACATTATATTCCAGTTGAAAAGCAAACAAAGTGCTGGCTGGTAGTGTTGCTGTAGCAGCTCTTCCAATTGTGTTCAGGTATGGTGATAACAAATATCTTTGCCTTGTCTCCCTGTGTTTGTTGCACACAGACGAACTTGAGAGGTGCCAATGTTCACACTGGCATTCCTTCCTCATTAATACTGACCTGGTAGCCACAGTGATATAAGCCCTTGTACATGGTCTCCTGCTGTTTAGTAATGAGTTGGTGGAATTACTGCAGTTCACATGCTGCCACAGCTTATTTGTTTTAAAAAAATAAAAGCCGTTATGGTAGTGCATGTCACTCCTGTATTACAGCGTTAATCTTTGACAAATGTGTTCATAACAAATAAAAAGGTTCCTTGTAACTCGAGGGACTGTGCCACATACCACGCTAATGCCATCAAGGCTTCCTTCGTGAGAACCATGGTGAATACTGAAGTGGAAAAGCGGTTGCACTTTGTACATGAAGTTGTAAAGAGCCAATTCTACAAGCAGTGAACTACCAGTCTGTGGGGTTAATTAATGGAGAGGTGAACTCTTGGTAAAGGCTGGAGGTGGTGCCCCAGCCCAGAGATGGGATGGGACCATAACTGGTGACTGTCTAAATCCATATAAGCTTCAGGACTTGAAACTGAAGAGTGAAGCAGAGGTGAGATACGGAGTGTCAATAAGTAGCAGAGTTTCTTCTGAGAGGCACAAAAATGTTTCCTGCCCCAAGCTCTGCATCACCACTTTTCACAGGACATTTATTATTATTGACTTTTTCTGGCATATTTCCCCCACCAGCTCACAAAAAAATAAGCAGCGTGTACACCAAATAGAGTGTGATTTTTACAGTTCTTGAGTAATGATGTCCAGCTCAGGGCTGCTCCTCTGCCTCCGCTGCCCACACAGGTCCAATCCCAGCTCTCTGCCCTGCTCCTTCCCTTGCCTCTTGAGGGGGTGGCAGAGCTGGCGCCCATTGCCCATAGTCCTTCTAATCCACTTATCCTGTCTGGGCAGGCTTAGTGTCCGCCCTGTACAGTGTGGCCTTTGAGGAGGACGTGGCAAGCTGGTTACAGCACTGGGTGATTATCTCCTGTATTGGCCAGTTCTGCCAAAAGAAGTGGGGACTGTTTTACCCTTAGTGTGGGACGTGCGTCAAAAGCCTAGTCAGGAACTCATTTCTGCAGCTCATTCAGAAATACACGTTTTAATGATAAGGCAAGCATTTGATGATTAAAATCTGCTCTCTGGTTCTGGAGCAAAGACCACAATCTTTTTTGCAGTCCCAGAGAGGGATCTCATTTGTTTACTAAATTGGACGTGGCTTTATTTTCTGAGGCTTTCCTCCCCTCCCTTTATTTGTAGGCAGGACAAAATGGCCAGGACTCCAAGCAGCTGCTGCATGGAGTTTGTTTAGCTGACTAAAAAAGGTTTACTGTAGAACATTAGTAACAGAGACAGACCTTGGTACTGGGTTTCAGAGACCTGAAAATTAATGTTCAGGGTTGCAACAGGCTGAAAAACAAAGTGGTACCTCATCACAACACTATATCCAGTGCCAGCATCTGTGCAGATCCCAGGGCAATGCCTCATCTTGCATCCAGAAGAGGCTGACACACCATCTCTCTGATGTTTATTGATCGTCCCTGTTCTTGTTATTAAGTGAATCCCATCACTTCTTTCTGAGTCTTGTTATAGTGGATTAACAATGATCCATTAAGTTTGTCAAATCAGTGACTGACATGGAAGAAAGGAGTCATCCTGGTTTCTCTTCACGCTGTGACTGGGCTGTGAAGTAGAGGATCAGAAAAAGCTTCCTGTTTTTTTTGTGCTAATGAAAGTAGTTTGCGTGGTTTAAGTTAATGTGTTCCATATGTCATGCTTTGTATTAAGCTATCTGCACTGTGCTTTCTCTTCTAGGTCTTGGGTTTGCACTCTGTTATTCTCCAGCCATTGCAATGGTGGGCAAATATTTCAACAAAAGAAAAGCGCTGGCATATGGAATAGCCATGTCAGGAAGTGGAATCGGTACCTTCATCCTGGCTCCTGTGGTCCAGCTCTTAATTGAGCAGTTTTCCTGGCGTGGAGCTTTACTCATCCTGGGAGGTTTTGTTTTAAACCTCTGTGTCTGTGGTGCCTTGATGCGGCCCATTGCTCTTAAGGAAGACCGTAAAACTGCTCCTGAGTTTCTTGAACAGGATTATGTTCCCAAAGCACAGAAACGAGACTTAAAGCGAACATCCATTTGTTCACCCTTAATCAAAGTGTGGTCTCATGAATGTTTATGCTACTGTTCATGGAAGGAATATAACTTTTTGCTGATGCCAGGCTTCATGATGCTGGCAGTGTCGGTTTTATTTATGGCATATGGCTGTAGCCCTCTTTTTGTCTACCTAGTGCCTTATGCTTTGAGCGTTGGAGTGAGTCACCACCAGGCTGCCTTCCTCATGTCCATACTTGGTGTCATAGACATCATTGGGAATATCACCTTTGGATGGCTAACAGACAGAAGGTAATGCCTTTTGGCTAAGCAAGTGTAAGCTTTAGCTGGTGGGAGGCTGGTGCAAGTGAGGTATAACAGGTATAAAAGTTAACATGGATTTTTTCTGTAATGTGTAACTTGAAAAAAACCCTAACCTACAACAATAAATAAATAAATAAAAGAGAAAAATACCTCTCCCCCCAAAAAAACAAACAAAAAGCAAGGAAAAAACCAAACCACAACCCCCCCAAACCCCACAACCCAAACCCCCAGCACATAGTCTAGCTGTCAAAAATGCCTACTAATGTTTTTGTTAAAAATGCCTTTAATGTTTCTGTGTCTTCTGAGTTTAATTCTTTTGCATTTGATAGTGGAAATGTAGCTCTTGCCTCTGAGGTGTGATGAGCATGATCCTCTGTACTCTACTTCCTCTCACTCTGCTTCCTCTGCCTTTACAACTCTTGTGTGCTGCTGGAGAGACACAAAAGTAATGGGAAAGGGTCAAAGGTCTGGCCCACCACTGTTGGGCAGATACTCAGAAGAACCGACCTAAAATTGTTATACATTTTCCAGTATGTAAGAACTCACCATGCTTTGTTAACTCAGCTCACTCCAGATGTCTGTGTGCAGCATCTGTAACATCAGTAGAGACTGGCTAAATTAAGAAGGATTTTTATTCTAAAGGACACATTCTTTTCAGTTATTCAGTTTGTGGGAAAATAAATTATTGGTTTTGTGTGGCAGGGAGAAAGGAATTGTCATCTCACTTAGCTTACACTAACACCAGTGTTGAAGGGCTGATGCAAAGGATGACATCTAAGAGACCTACACTGTAATACTTTTACATAATACTGGGAGCACCTTGCTGAGCTGGGATGTAAAGCCCAATGGAATACTACTTTGAACACTGAAACTTCAGAGGCTGTGAAATTCTGGTGGCAGGGTGGTTCCCCTCACTAAGAGCAGCCCAAAACCCACTGCAGACAGCATGGGCTGCAGCTTACCAGATGTTTCTGCAGCTGTAGGTGTGCAGCTTTCCCTCCCTGGGCTCGTTGGTGCTGAACTTTTTATCTTGAAGACTGCAAGAAAATGGACTTAACTTCGAGCTATATAAGAGAGAGAGACTGAAGTGCTGCATGCCAAGGCATACAAACAGATGCTGTGCCCAGTGATAATCCTTTTCTTTTCTGTTTTGAAATTTGCAGGTGTCTGAAGAAGCATCGTCACTTTTGCTACCTCTTTGCTGTGGGAATGGATGGCCTCTGTTGCCTTTTCCTACCAGTTCTCCAAAATTTCCCCTTGCTTGTGCCTTTCTCATTTACCTTTGGTTACTTTGATGGAGCCTATGTAACACTGATCCCTGTCATAACAGCAGATGTAGTAGGAACTTCTTCTTTATCATCAGCACTGGGTGTCGTGTATTTTCTGCATGCCATACCATATCTAGTGAGCCCGCCTGTTGCAGGTCAGTGCACAAATGACTTTCCTATAATCTTAGTGCTACTACAGATTTGCCTGTCAGTGTGACATAAAAGGAGAGGAAGGACAGCAAATGCACGCTAAATGTGGAGGTAGCCCCTGGGCAGAGAAATAATACGCCTAGGCCTTCATAAGATTTTTAGATCATCTTGAGCCCTGTCTTGATGGGATGATTTCTACATATAGAGTGAGTTGAAATTTAAGAAGCAGAACAGTATGGAATCAGACTTCTAAGAGCTGTTACATCACCACTTCACATAGTTCAGAAATTGTGCAAGTAGAAGGGGCAAAATTTCACTGTGAAATTACATGATTTTGAAAATATAAGCAATTTCATTCCGAGGTGGGTTTTTTGGTGCAGAGGACTTGATCTTTTCATCTCCTAGCTGTTTTGAACAGGTAGGTGAGTCAACTTCAGTACTCTTTGGTCACAAGCTCATCACTGTAATATCTAACCATCATTTGCCCCGTCAGTTCCATCACAGTGAAGGAAGGATGAGAGCAGAGAGTTTTAAATATTGTGGAAGGTCAGAGATCTTTTTCAAACAGCCATGTACATATATGTCTTCTGGATTTTGTCTGCTGTTCATATCAATTCCTGGTTAATCACTACTTTTGAATCTTTTAATTTAATTAGCCATAGCAGAAATCATTGGAAAGTGGTATTATTTTAAGTGATACTTGAGCCTTGAGCATGTGTCATTAGATGTTTCTGTATGAGAATGTCATGCACACAATATTTAATCCCAAGTCTCTCTAAGCATGACTTTAGACTGCCACCTAAATCCATCCAGTTGAAAGATGTCTGTTTACTGTTGTGGCGATGACTTCTGGGCCTTTTTTCATGGATTGGGCCTCCAAACAAAAGTCCATAAAAATCTTACCTGTCTGCTGAGGACAAATCCCTCCCTGCCCTAGGAAGTAAAAGTATAGTGGTGGTGATGTAAACCTGTATTGTTTGATTGTATGTACATGTGATAACTCCAGAAGCTTATAAAACCCCTGTTGATCACAGGATTTGTAAATTATCAGAATTCTGGTGGACCTTTAAAAACCCATGACTTTTTTTCCTACAGGTTGGCTTGTAGACACAACTGGCAGTTATACTGCATCCTTCCTCTTGTGTGGATTTTCTATGATATTTAGTTCGACGTTATTGTGCTTTGCAAATCTAGCGAAGAAAATCAAAAGAACTCATTTGCTGTCACTCACCAATGACATGGGCACGAAACAGCACATCTGGACTAATGGAGCAATAGCTTATTCTGTCACAGCAGAATTAGACCAAAAAGATGTTCGATTTTTGGCTGTGGATATAAACAGCTACAGCAACAGATGACAAGTGCATCAAGATTCTGCAGAGCCATGACTGAGATAGAGGTGGCTCTATAGTGTTACACTGCTGAAGATACTACTCCTGTGAAATAAGGCATCTCTTAATTAGATTTTTCTGGCATGTTTTAGTTGGCTAAAGTCTACATACAGCATTAGTAATACAAGTAAATGCAGTAATAGAAGAAAGCTAGACTGAAAATAGAGTTTGTAGATACAAATGTTCACAGATTTGTTTGAAATGCAGTATGGCGACTCCACAGGTAATCTAATCTAGAAGATGAGAACTGGCTATAATAAAAAACCCCTATAATCGGTCACGAAAACTGAACAATAAAATTTGAAGTATTTAAAAAATAGTATTAATGAAATAAACTTTTTGGTGTTCTGGTCTATTATGTTTCAATGGACTACTCACGCACACCACCAAAAACCTTCCTCATGTATCATTCTGCATTAAACTCTTTGCAAATAACTGTGTCAAATGCCAAAGCCATTTGTTTTAGTTTGGGGTGGCTTGGTTTTTTTGTTTGTTTAGCTTTTTTTGTTGTTTTTTGTTTAGATCTGGCAGGAATCTGTGATTTATGTTGAAAGTGTCCCTGGAGCAGCTTTACTTTTTATGGTGTGCCTCAATTTTGTACATACATTGCAATTTCATGTCAGAAACAGTTTTAGACAGACTTTCCCAAGCCCCCTACAGCAAAATTTTGAGGTGGTTGCTGGTTTGTTTGGTTTTTTTTCCTGGATATCTTTAAAGCTTGAATTTCTACACATTGACATTCCAGGTAGGATCCTCCGGTTGATCCTTTTCTGGGAGAGTGAAAGAGGTGCCGTGGCCAGTCTGCTGTCTGAAGAGCAGTAAATTTGTGCCAGGGGACTGGGTTTGATGATAGACAAACCTGCTTTATCTGCATGAGTGGAAGAAGCCCAAAGGCAGCTCAGGAGACTAGAGCAGAGTTTCCTCTAGTCTCTATTGTTTTTCCAAACACAGAGCATCTTCCTCCTATGAAATCAGCAGCTGTTGATGAGTCTGTGCAAGCAGATGACTGTGAGACTGCCCACTCCAGAGACCATTACTAAAAAGGATGTTAGCAAAGTTGTTTCTGCATACTGCAGTGGCAAGTCTGCCTCTTTTCAGGCCCAGAAGCTGTAGCCTCAGTTAGAGCAAATTACTTGTTTGTGCCATCTGAAGAGCTGATCAGGGCACTTGTCCTAAATGACCAGAACACCACAGCTGTGATCTGCACAGGTTTTCTTCTACTTGTGTGGGGAATATACTATAGCTGGCTGCTACAGACTGAATGTAGTTCACGGGGTAAATTACTGACGATGTCATATGTAATGGGATGTTTCTATGTTTCCAGAGTGAAAATGTTGACAGCAATGGAGGAACTTCACATTCTGCAATGTGAATCATTTCTGTGCTTTGATGCTGTATACAACTGTATTCTGTTGATTAGCAAATTGATCAGAGTCCAAATAATTTTCACCAGTACTGAACTAGTAGTTTTGTAATTGTCTGTAGTGTATTCAATGGTTGCTTGTCATGTCCTGTTCTACTTTGTGCCACATAAGGGAAAATTACATAGACTAATGTTCACCAATTTGATCTAGATCAAGAGTATAGCCGTAGGAGTATAATATATTTATATATATATGAATAGTATGTGTGGCAAGTAGTTTTATTATTCATGCATATCTCAAATATAACATACTAAAATTGTCTGTCTTCAGCTGTCTGTGCTTAAATGAGGTATTTCCTGCTGCCCTGCTTCAGAAGTGTGGTTGGAGCCCGTAGCATGATCTACATGCACAGACCACAGAATAAGAGATGGATGGGAGTTCAAAGACTGCTCAAAACTAATGACATAATCTTTTTCAGCTCTGCCTGAGCCCTAAGCTTGGTTTTAACATATGTTCATAAAAAAAGGAGAAAAATTATCCATGAGTGTTTCTTAATGAGTTAGGAAAACTACGCACATTTGGAAAAAGACAAAGTGGGTTTATTATTTAGAAGTGATGAAGATGTTGGTTTAGATCTTAATGCAAAGTTTTAATATAAAAATGTAGGGAAGAGTGTGGTCTACACAGAAAATAAGCAATTTTCCACAAGTTGTAAATTACCATTGTCATTTACTTCACAAAAATTTAATTACTTTGTTTACCACATTGCAACACGTCAGCAGTTGTTCACACCAGAAATGCATATTGTAAAAGCCTGTTGTAATAATAGTATATGCATTTTTATCCTATTAAACAACACTGTGTAATACGGTATTACATTTTTAAAGTAATTTTTTTTTATTTCAAGTTATTCTTTTCACAGTCTTTTTTTCATTTATGTGTTTGCAGCAGTATTTCTTGTTTTAAATATCTAATTCAGCAGAAAATGTTCAACTGGTTTTATGCACAGACCTTTTGTAGAAAATGGTAGAATTATTTAAGTGTTTTCTAACACTGTATCTGCTTTGACTTCAGCCAATGGCTAAAAACTTACCTACCAGAATGTGCATAAAACACACTGTGAAATATCAGATATGAATCTCCCCAGTAAGAAGCAGAAGGAAGGAAGCATAAACTGCGAGTGGAAGAATTAGGAATATAGTCAAGGTTTGAGAAGCCTCATGCCAAACTTCTACCCCCTGGTCCACGCGATGCAAACTGTCAGGCTGTCCTCCATGGAGATATTTCCTGGCATGGCACTGTGCAGCAGTAAGCAGAGATACCTGGGCTAGCTGTGAACAATTTGCCAGGCTAACACTGCATGTGCTCACCAGCCCTACTGAACACTGACGGCTACGAGCTTGGATGGAGCACTGCACAACTGACCCTGTCTGCCTTCCAGGGAAACCATGGTCAGACTTGGCTGGGGTAACATATGCCTGAGACAGAAACAGAATGATCCTACCTCAGATGAATCCTGCCTGGAATAACACTCTATTCTGTACAATGAATGGGAATTCTGCATAAGTGAAACTGCTTACAATTGCTGAAATTATCCCATCTGTTTCCATTCCATGAGGTTTGAAATGTGGAAATCATCATTCCTTTGAATTTGCTTATGTTCTAATGGCAACTTTTATCAAATCCACTTTGGAACATTTAATAAATTGTACCTTGTGTGAAAACAGCATTGGAAAAATCAAGTCCCTTCTGTTGAAATAAAATAGCCCTGTTTTCAGGGGAAAAAAAAAAGAAAAGAAAACCCAAAACTTTGAGCCTGGAACCTTTCTGCCAGCTTGGATGATACTTTATCTTCTGAAAAACAAAAGTTGTCTGTGCTTCTATATGGGGAATATATTTTATATTGCCACAACAGTTCCTCGTTTGCTTTCTGAAGTGTTACAAATTTCATTGTGAAAAGGAAGAGCTTGTGTAAGTTAAGCTGTAACAGGACTTCATGGTCATCATAAGGAAGTCCTTAGTTGGAATTCCCTCAATAAATAAGATCTTCTAAGTGACTATTCTGCTGTATTCCAGTAGCATTTTCAATATAATTTAGAAAGTGCCTTTGAATCGTAAGTGAATAATTCCTGACAGGTTATCTTCAGTCTTGTTTTCCCTCCACCGCTAGCATAGGCTCCAGTCATGTATTCATACTTGGGTGTGAACTGAGAGATGTTCAGCTTCTGTGTGGTTCTGGGTGTTGCCCACTGGACTTGGACACTGCAAAATGGGTGTTTTGTTTTGCCCACTTGCTGAAGCTGAATCTCAGCCTTTCCCTGTGTTTCACCAGACAATGCAGCAGCACCACCCTGTGGGAAATAATATTTCTCCTCATTTACAAGACACTAGGCAAGAACTAGAAAGCAGTGTTTGACCAGCGTATCCACGGGCAGTACCGTGGTCGAGCACAATCCTCCGAAGCCTGAAGCAGGTCAGGCACAATAAATAGATTCCTTGCATTACTACACCCCACAATCAATTTCTTTGCTGTGGAGAAGACTGAGCCACTCTGACTCTTCATAAACAGCCAGGTGCACATTTTTCTCAATGTACTCTTTCTTATTTCTTCAAGGTTCATTTTCCAGGAGAGAGACAGGAAGAGGCCCTGGTAGTGGGATGTGGAGGGGAGCATGGATTTGCCACCATGGCTTTGGGAACCTGCACCACCATTTCTTCCTCAAATTCTTGCCTGCTGCTGTCCATGCCCTCAGGAGGGTTTGGATGGCAACGATGCTGAGGCTAGAAGCCTCAAGACTGAGAAAGGCAGTGAGATCACCTACCTTACACTCTTTTGCCCTAAAAACTCTGAGAACGCCACCACAGGTAGTTCCTGGCTCCTGTCAGCACCCCTACTGTTGTTCCTGCCAGCTTTCAGGAGTGGTGTGTCAGTCCTGCTCACAGTCCTTCCTTCCCTCCTCCACCCCTGCTCTTTCCCTAGGTAGGGCCACCCTTGTTTGTAAGAGAGAAGCTGGCAGGCAGCTGGGAAACTGGGATGTTTTTTCTCCCTTTCTTAGGAAGAAGGTGTGGTTGAATTATGTACACTGTTAAGTTCCTGATCACTTTAGCTTGCGTTATGAAAGATTCTTTGAGCTGAGAGGGGAGAGGCTTCCTGGTGTTTCATGATTTGACATCATATTTCACACTCCTTCAGGCCTGTCATCCTGACTGTACATGGGACTGGTGTTGCAGGGACAGGAATGCTCCAGGATGGCTGGAAATAAAAGTGCGCATCCCTCCTCATTGGCTCTGTCTCTGAATGAACCATTCTGCTTCATTCTATGCTACCGGCTAGGGCTCAGAAGTGTTTTGGAAGCACAGTGTTAATTTTCTCTGAGCACTATGACCTACCATACCAAGGTACAATACTGTGGAATTAGTCTGCCCTGTTACAAAGAATACTGAATTTTAGTTGGGTATCTGAAGACAATCGCCTCCTCCACCCATTCTCCCTGTCCTTTCAGCCCCTTATTCCACTCATATAGACTCTGTGGGCGCTCACCCCTTTTCACATATGCCTTTTGTGTTCTACTGCAATGCTCTTCAGTGCTCATCCAACCTTTCGTTCTAGCTGCACTCTGCCCTCCATGTCCAGTTCAGTGCATTTCTTGTGTCTGTTTTCTGTCCCTGGCTTGTTTCACCAGCATGACTGCAGGTAACCATCTCTTTGGCGTTTCAAAGACTGCCTTACCTTCCTCTCCAGATGTTTGCTGTAGCAGTTCCAGAGAGTGTGGTTTAGAGTAAACTAGATGGATGCTGTTTTGCGCACAGCTTAATTCTTTGGTGCAACACCTCTGAAATCAGCTTTGCTGAGAGTTTGGGAAAGTAAATGGGGCTGTGTCCTGACCCTTTCATATCCTGCCAAAACTTCATCCTTGTTATTTTTTTCAAATGGCCATTTCCCTTTCTTTTATCTACTAACATGAGGACTGGTCAGCAGAGAGATACCAGAAGCAACAGCTGATACATGCAATGCTCTTTAATAGTTCAGAACAATAATACATGTTTTGTAAGCTTGGCAGTAAACTAGTCAAATAGTGGCTATTTTTCATAGATAAACAACATACAAGTTAGTAAACTAAAGAAGTCTTCAACAAATGTTTCTTCCAATTAACACTAAAAAGGATATCCTTTAAATATTTGAAAAAGCATCAGAAATTCCACTTGTGTATAAGCATGCCTTTCAAGCGGACAGATGAAATACTATAACACTTTTTTCTCCTCATCTTTTTCTCAGTTGAAGGTAAGATCTGATTTCCATCTTTGAAGCTCTATGTTCTACAGATATCCCTTACACTGGTAGAAAGGTTGTGTTTTAGCACTGAAGACTAAGACAGCCTAGCTATTATTTCGTCTTTCCAAGCATGCTCTCTTGGTGAATAAACAAACAAATGAATAATCATCATCTGCAGTTTCTACATTATCACTAGAAAGTGATGCTACCAGATGTTTCATCCGCTTATAACTTCAACCTTAAAAAAGGTTTTGAGAGTCTGTTGAAATGTCCTTGGGTTTGGTATTCAGTGTTTTGTTTTTTTTGTTTGTTTGTTTGTTTGTTTTTTATGAAGGATTTGTGGAGCTTTAGCTTCTGATGGAAAGTTGTAGCTCACATAATGCACTCACATATTCTTCATTGTTGGGATACAATGCAATGGCTTTCTTATAGCACTCAATTGCTTTATGTTTCTCATGGTTTAGATTGTGAATGAATCCAAGTGTACCAAAATCTGTTGCATTTCCCAAACCTTCCTGAATTCTCTTTTCCAACAATTGCTTCAGGGCATTTATGCAACTTTGTCTTCCATAGGAAGCTTTTTCAATTTTCAGCCCTTCTGTGTAATTCCTAATGGCTTCAGAATCCGATTTCATGTGAAAACGCTGAAAATTGCCATAATGGTAATAGAATTCTTGTTTATCAGCATAGGATAGAATATTTATCTGAAACGCTTTCTGAAATGTCTCTTTTGCTTCTTCATACCTCTTTCCTTGTGCGTACATGTTTGCTAGGCCAATATAGGCAACAAAACATTTTGTGTTTTGGTCAGTCGCTGCTTTAAAATGAAAAATGGAAAGTCGGATGAGTTCCTCCACTTGCTCTTGAGGTGGATATCTTGTAGTCTTTTTCAGTTGAAACAGCTTTTCTTTGTAGCAGACTCCTAGTTGGTGATGCAAAAAGGCTGATTTTGGTGTCACCACTAGGGCCTTCTTCAAAATTTCCAGTGCCTTGTCCACTTCTCTTTTCCTTCTATAAAATTTAGCAGCATATCGCAGGACATAAGGAAAATCAGGTGTTTTCTGCATTGCTGCTTCAATGTACCTCTCCCCTTCATCAACTTGCTTCAAGTCCTGAAGTTTTAATGCAAGTAAGGCCATAATAAAAGTATTCTTTGGATTCAGTTCTACTGCACGCTTCAGGGCCTCAATCGAAGGGCTTACATGTTCACATTCTCTCTGAGAAAAATCTTCCAAACGATACATTACTATTGCATAGCCAGCATTAAATTCTGGGTTATTGGGTTCATTCTTCAGAGCATTTTCAAAACAATCCTTTGCTCTCTCGTAGTATTTTCTCCCAAACTTTAAAAATGCCCACCCTTGCTCAGCATAGATATCTGGAAGCTGAATCTTCCCTGGAGCAGTACTTGAAAGCTTTTTGCAGCTGTTTTCCACTTTGCTTACATAAGTTTGAGCATCTTTGAATCTTCCCATGTAGTAATAGATCCAGGCATAGTTCCCCCAGGTAACAAGGCTTCTCCTGGCAATTTCATCTGGGTAGTTTTTCTTAACTTCTTCTTCAGCTTGTTGGAGATATTTCAGGGCTTCCTCGTTCGAATTCTTTAGATGGCATATGTAGGACAGTAGATTATAATTTTTTATGTTGGAATTTGCAAAAAACTTGATCTGATCACCTATTGTTTCCTCTAGGTTATCTAGATCCATATCTTCTTTCAGCAAAGTCCATGTAAAATGACACTGGAGCTGCATCAAGGAGCTCTTCAAGGAATTCTTGGTAATGGTACTAGAAGAAATCAAAGAAAAACTTACTTATACCCCATTTGGCTTTTGCTGCTCTTGGCTTTAAACCAGACGTAATGTAGGCCATACCACAGCTGGTGCCACTAGTTGACAATACTTCAAACAAGCAAAAGGTGTGGGAAGCTGGAGGTCTAAAGATCTGAATAGTTATTTTAGTAACTCTCCTTGCAGTGTATGAGGGCACCTCTCACATAGCAACAGAGCTGGTGGTCTGGATATCAGAGGAGAGCTAGTATCCACAGTAAAGCTGGCACACTTCTGGCCCACAGGAATATATTTCCCATGCTGGTAACAACTTCTGAGGCCTACCCAGAAATTATACTCAAATAAAAAACTTCCCTCAAAACATAGCAAAAGTGATGTATTTCCTTTCCCATGTGCCTGTATTTTTTATGGTTTGGATTATAAATTTAATTTTTAATTTCTTGCCTTTGTAAATCCTTGTTTTTTAGATCATAGCACCATTTTTATGTAGGATTATACTGATGTATCCAGTAGCTCACTCCCAGATCTCACCAGTCTCCCCAGTTCCTGGCATCTGAATGTACAGGCCCTCAAGGGTGCCAGCCCATTCTACTTGCTGGTACAGACCACACACTCACTCACCCTATAGATCTCCAGAAAATGGCTTTGGCTATCCAGTAGCTGGTCAGGGATCCTCTTTCCATGCAGGTGCTCACCTCTAGACACACATGCAGGCATGATGACCAGACCCTGTTTATATACAACTGGTCCCTCTTTGTGATTTTGTAACAGACCGCTCAGATCTCTTGTTTCTCTGCCCTTGGTCCCACAACAAGTGCAATCCCCAAATACTTTTCCCTGCATCCTGTAATGTGTCACATTTCGCTAGGTGCTCTAGTGGACCCCTAGTGCTTGGTGTTCCCCTACCCCATGGAGCTGAGGGTCCCCGGGGAAGGCTGGGTGGGGGCTTGTGTCCCTGACTAGGTGTTGTGGTTTAAGCCCAGCTAATGACTAGATACTGCACAACCAGTCACTCTCTCCCCACCCTACCCTGACAGCATGGGGAGGAGAATCAGAGGAAAAAAAAAAAACAAAGTAAAAACCTGTGGGTTTAGATAAGAAGTGTTTAATAATTGAAATAAAGTAAAATATTCTCATAATAATAATAGGAAATAAAGAGAGAGAGGAATTAAACCTAAGAAACACAAGGGTGTGTATTGCATTGTGATGCTCAACGAAACTGCTCACCGCCCACTGACCGATGCCCAGCCCATCCTTGAGCAGTGACTGGCACCTGCCAGCCAACTCTCCTGACCTGGGTTCAGCTCTAACAGTTACTTTTCTTCTTAGTAGCTGGTGCAGGGCTGTGTTTTCAACTTTAGCCTGAGAACAATGCTGATAACACACCAATGTTTTAGTTGTTGCTAAATAATGCTTAGCCTCATCAAGGACTTTTCAGTCTCTCATGCTCTGCCAGTGAGGAGGGGCACAAGAAGCCGGGAGGAAGCAGAGACAAGACACCTGACCCAAACTAGCCAAAGGGGTATTTAATACCATAGCATGTCATGCCCGGTATACAAACTGGGAGGAGTCACCTGGAAGACCCAGACTGCTGCTTGGGTCAGGCTACATCACTTGTGCTTATTGTGTTCTTTTCCCCCCTTCCCTTTTCAGTTTTATATTCTCTCACCTTGTTATTTCCCTTATCATTGTTATTATTATTAATAGTAGTTTTGTATTATACTTTATTTACTAGACTGTTCTTATCTCAACCCATGGGGTTTACATTCTTTTGATTCTCCTCCCCAACCCTCTGGGAGTGGGGGGACTGCATGAGCAGCTGTGTGGTGGAAAATGAATATTCATGAATGTCACAGAAACAGATTTGTGATACAGATTAAATACAGTTTAGCTTAGTTCAATGTGTCACTGGTAAATGTAGTTTCCAAAGCTGTCATAAACACCTTGGCTTTGCCTATTTGGGGGTGTGTGTGCCTCTCTTGTGCATGTGTGTCAGTCTTCAGAAAATGTCACCTCCGCTCTAATGCTCAAAGTTGCAGCCCAGGACCTGCACTGCCCTGTTTGCTGGTCCTCATAGTAATAGAGTTCAAAGTAAATTCTCAAATGCATTGGTGCCTGGATTTCATCCCTGAACTGCATGCACACAGATTTTCAGACTGCAAGTTCTGCTCATAGACACTGTTCCTTGTCAGAGAAGCAATAACGATACTCAATACAATATTCAGTAGCATCCTTATTTTATTTTTAATCTTCCAGTAAATACTCTGTAAAATACTTTCTGCTGCTTGGATCCCCAAAAAAGTCCCTCACTACTTACATTTATGTAAATAATAAGCTTTATTTTTCCATGGCATAGCATAAAAGCATCTTTTAGAGACTGGGTTGGTGGCTTACCTCATGGTTATCCTTCTCTGCTCACTTGTCTTAAGGCAGCTGCAAAGCCAGTGGTGTGCTACTTGCTGTTGTTATGCCTTTCCTTTTATATGCTCCAGCCCCCACGTGATCCATGAGAAAGCGAAACTTCAGCTTCTGTCTGAATCTGCCGAAGCAGAAGAGCCACTTGCTGGGGAATAGAAACTTCTCACTATGCTGCTTTTTTTAGCCTGGCTCCATGCCATGCATTACTCTGCGTTGTGGAGAATGTGGTAACAGCTCCTAACAGCTTCCAGCTTTTACTTTGCTCAAATGCAGAGGCATCTATGATAAGGAGAATATTTCAGGCTAGTATAGGCTGACCTGGTTATCATGCATAAGCTAGGGAAGGGTCATTTCTCCCTCCTGCCTCTGCTGATGCAGTTTTGCACAGTTCTGCACCATGATCTAGGCTTTCTTTTTATTGGTATTGTCATCCACATAACAGTCACGTAATGTCTTACTGCCCCTGCCTGCCCTCCATCCTATGTCTCCACATTGCAGGGTATCTGCTGTTGTACCAGGCCTGTATTTCTCTGTGTTATGTCACTGTCTGAGAGTACTAAATATCTGATCCCACCTAGAGAACTGTTTGTTGCTGCTCTCTACACAAAACTGCAGTTGTACTGTGCAGAGATAAAACTAAAACAAATAAGAAACAATCAATTCAAGAAAGTTCTATCACAGCTGTGCCAAGCAAAACAAAGCTGCAACGGTCAGGACAAGTTCATACAGAGCAGACCTGGCAAGCCTTGGTCCTGAGGCCATGCAAACTCAGTGCAAAGCTTATGGCCAGTTGCTAGCAACAGCAGTGGTAGTTACAGGGCTACATGTTAACATGTACATGGGTACTGGAGCACCTATGGATATAAACAACTCACTGAACACTTAGCTAAAAAAAAAATAATATAGGCAGAATTGGCTTGATAAAGTTGATTTTAGGGGTAACAAAGAGATCAAAGAAATAATATCTAATACGTGTAAAAGGCACTATGTATGGTAAATTTGGATGGAATCTGAAGCTGCAGACAAGTGAAGAAGAAGAAAGGTGTAAAAGCACATTAGCAAACATATGACCCCCCCCCCCCCCCAAAAATGACCCAAAGGTGATGCTGGGGAGAGGAAGAAGAAACCACCACCTTGGCATCATGTTCCTGCCAAGAAAGGATGGCAGTGGTTGATGACTGTTGGTGTTGCTCCCTCAGCAGCCTGAAGCTGATCTGAATGCCCAGAGGAGCAATCTTTAGAGGAAGGAATAGAAACTAAAGGAGTTTACGTGTGTGCATATGTGCATAACAATTTTAACCACAATATTACTATTATTGTGTCATTTTCTGTGTATAAGTCCTTTAACTGCATTATTACTAGCCCAGCAAAGCAATTGTCTGAAATTCAGATTTCATTATTAAAGTAATGTAAATGAACTATACCGTAATAAATGACAGGTTCACCTCAAATATCCTATTTTATGCTGGTTTCAATTTAGCCTAATTTAGCATGTAATTACTATGTTGGACAGCAGCAGTTGTGGCATTTTATAACTTGAGTTTTGCCTAGGGGGGAAGGGTACCTTGTAATTAATTTGACAGAAAACCCAAGTGAATCACGGAGCAATATTTTTGCTACCCAAGTTCTTTAAAACCACGTCCCAAAGAAATGGAATCCAGGAATGCAAACGGTTGCATAGTGTCATGTCGCTTGTATCAACTCCTGTATCCATATATCAAAACAAGGGGATGTTATGAAAGCTTCATTTAAAATCTTAATGCTTTCTAAATAAACAGAAAATTTCTGTTCTTGACACGTTCTTGCTTTACCACTGTGTATTTTGTGTCAGGTTTCTGTATTATTCTGAGGATATTACTCGGGACCTGCACCTAGTAACATGAATATTTATATTACAGGATTGAATTTGGTCCAAGTTTTTGCAAGCCTGGTCACACATCCCCTGACCACAGACACGCTTCTCTGGGAGATTACAGTATGCAATGCCATGCCAATTAGTTGCCCCAGTGCATGAAGGTAAAGCAGGTTTGCAAGCAGCTGTGATAATAATCCTGCTGGAACTGTGCGCCTGCATGTAATTTAAGCCCATCTGTATTAGATTTGATGTATTTTGACTCTGCTCAAAGATGATAGATAGATGACAGATAATCTATTTGCGGAAGGACAACAGTGATTGCTGACAACGCTTTATAGTCCTGACAAAGGACCGGCTCTTCCCGACACGGTGGAGGCGTTCCCGGGGATGCTCCCGCTGCTGAGAGAGGCCGTGGGAGACGAGGCTACACCTCTTCCTTCCTGCCGCTGTTTTCGCCCATGAGACCGCCGCAGGCTCTGCGGCGCGATCGAGGCAGGGCGGCACTGTGAAGATTCCGGAGACTTCGCACACGAAGGGGAGGGCTGGGAAGCAAAAACCGCGGGCGCCGTTCTCAGGCCTGACAAACTTCTGACAATGGAGCCCGCGGCGCCGGGGACGCCCACACAGGGATTACTTGAGGAACGCTGAAACACACCGGCTCCGGCAGCTCAAGGCCGCGTACCCTCGGCCCGCCGGCACGGAGCAGCAGCAGCTGCCCACGGCCGGGTTTCCGCCCCTCGGGCGCTGCAGGGAGGGCCCTGCCCTGACGCCGCCGATAGGCCGCGCTGTATGGCCTGAGCTGCGCCGCCGGCCTAGCGCCCTCCTGCCGCCTCACCGAGCCGCGCTAACCGCGCCGGGGCGGGAGCGGGGGCAGGCAGGTCGGTCCCGGTGCAGCAGCAGGTCTCTGCGGGGCAGCAGTCACCCTGAGGGGAGGCGCGAAGCGGCGCAGGACACACCCGGGCGCCCAGCCCGGCCGCGCCTCTTCAGCCGCGGGCTCGCTGCTGCCGCCCCGCCGCTGACAGGAGCGCGACCGCCCCTGTTCTCGCCCTGTCAGCCGGGCAGTAGCCCCCGCCCCTGTGACGCCGTCTCGTGCCGGCCACTGGGCCCGGCGGAGACTGCACATAAGGCTTTGCGGGGCCCGCTCGCTGCTGCAGCAACGTCGAGTTGTGCTTCGCTGTTACGGCGAGCCGGGGCCTCTCGCTTTACCGCAGAGCCAGAATGCGGGGACTGGTGGTCGCTGTTCTTCTGTTGCAGAGCATCGCCGGCTCGGGCGCGTTCGCCAGAGGGAGGAGGAACGTGGACCCCGAAACGAACATGAACATTGTGAGTGGCGCGCCCGTGAGGAAAGCGTGCCCGACGCGTGCCCAGCGCTGTTCCGTGGGTGCGGACGCGGGTGTAACAGGGCGAGGCGAGGGGTCGGGAGCAGAGGGGCGTCCGGGCGGTCTGAGGACCTTCCGCGGCTTCGGGGCCGCACACCCAGTCTCTTCCCCCGTCGCAGCCGCAGTGAGACCCCGGGGACTGCAGCCACAGGCCAGCGGTCAGCTGGCTGCTGCTTCGGCCCTCTGCTAGATGTCGTTTTTCGCTTCTCCTCCTTCCAGATCCTTCGTGGTCCCTTGCTGCCGGTACAGATATTTGTCACACATTTTCTGATCCAGACCTGTCAGGACACTCTTAACTGCTACAGAAGTCCATGCTTACGAAGCATACTTGAGCTACTAGCACAGTGTTCCAGTGTTCCTACCCACAACTGTCTTCATTCCCATTTAGCATTTACTCTCTTAACTTTATTCTTCTTTCGCTGCACCAGTCAACTCCAGAAAAAAATTTGCTGTTTGTAATTGGTATTAGTTGCTCTTTCCTCTGCCCCATCTAAACTGTGCCGTATCTTCACATGTGCAAGAAGGTACTTCAGGCTGTAAATGCTTGAGGTCTGTAAGGAAAGAAGTGCTTGAGTTGTCAATATCATCTAAATACCATTTTGAGGTCTGAAAATGGTCATTTAGTCTAAGGCTAGTAGCATTTGAATGAAATACAGCCTTAAAATGATTTTGGAATGTTAATGTTGTGGGTGATTAAAGATATATTTGAAAGAAATAGCATGTTTATTTAAATGCTCCTTCTCTCCTTGCTCAGCAGCCTAAGAGTAGAACTACAGAAATGTCTGGCATTCCTTAAGTTTTCTCAAGGCACAGTTGGTGTCATAAAACCTATTAAGTAGCAAGTTCTTTGTCCTAATGGAATTGCATTGAATGAAAATAACATAAAGCCCAAGACATAAGAGATAGGGGATAAACCTATTAATGAAATCATAGTGTTAAAGAAGTGTGGATTTTTATTTTTTCTATTGTCTTGTTTGGCTTGTCAGCAAAGTAAAATCTCTGTAACAGGAATAAGGTTTGAGGAGAAAGGTGAGTTAGAAATGGCACATGAAACTACAAGCTGAAGTGACAATGTCAGCAGCTGGCACATGTGAAAAGCGTGACCGTAATATTTTAAAGCTGCTGTTTTAAAAAAAAGCTGTTTGTGGCTCATTTCAGCACATTGCCTAAACATGACTGTGTCCTGTGTATAACAGAGAATTCAATATAAAGTTCAGATGTAAATCCAGAATGGTTTTGAAGAAGCCTTTCCCTTCAGGAGAGAGTACTCTTCTCTCCTTCTCTTCCGTATGCCAGTGTGGTGCCAGTGGCTTTCTGCTCTCCTCACTTGTTACTGGAAGTTTCTGCGTTCCTTGAGAGCAGACAGTTTTGATTTTTGTCTGCCAGATCTGCTTTGTGGTGTTTTGTTCTCTTATCTCCTTTCCAACACTTCAATAGCCTTTCTCAGTGTAAGCAGCAGGTGAGTAACTAACCTGACAGTAGACAGGGACAGGTTAGGGAGTCTCCCTAAATTCCCTGGTAAAGTTTGTGCTCTGGGTAGTTCCTGATTGCATACTGGCACAGTCCTAAGAAAACCTGTCTGCATTGAATAGGTGGGCAGATTCCTACCACAGACTAATTTCACATCCCATCTTCAGAAGTAACCCAGAGTACTTTGTACATGTTAATGAACTGAGGAGGACTTTGACTCCAAAGTGGTTTCTTTTCTTTCTTATTTGACTCCCAAGTGGTTTCTTTTTTTTCTTCAGAGTCAAATTATTACTTTCAGAGGATACCCTAGTGAGGAGTACGAAGTGACAACAGAAGATGGATATATCCTTTCCATTAACAGAATTCCTTATGGAAGAAAAGACTATGAAAGGAGTAAAGGTAAGATTTATTTCTGCTTGGAAAAGTGGAGAGTCATAAAAAAGCTCTCTTTGATTTATAAAACTTTTCTCCTGCAATAATTCAGAAAAGGTTTAAAGACCATATGACGTATACAATTAGCATGTTTTACTGGTGAGACTTGCAGCCAAATAGTAGGCATATGTAGAGTGACTAGAGTAAAGGAAGGGAGAAGGAGTGAGAAAGTTGTATTTTCCTGGCATTGCCTTTATGTGACATTAATGCAAGCCTTTCATTGTTGTTTTATATTTATCTTTTTTGTTTGTTTTTTTAGGGTTTGAGCAGCCTGAATTTTCTAGGAAGTGGAAAGTAAAGGTTGAGATTTGTTGTGTTTTTGAAGGCATAAAGTGTCTTGGAAAGAGATTGATTGTAAAATTGTTGTGTTATTTCAAACCCCATTTTAAAAAATGCTTCTTTATAGGAAATAAGTTTGTTAAAAATGCCTGACCATTTTCAGAAGTAGGGGCAGTGCCTGTTTTGGTTAAATATAAGTGAACTGCAGGAGTTCCCACTGGAATGTTCACAAAATAATTACTGTCTGATTTCTGCATAAGAATTCATTCGCTAATGAAATGAAACTGAAACTGCCTTTGCAATAAGGTACATCCAGTAGTATGTACTACTGGGGTGTCATATTTTACATGTCTACTTAAGCTTATTTAAACAATACCAGAATCATAGAATCATAATATTTTGGGTTGGAAGGGACCTGCAAATGTCATCTAGTCCAACCCCCCTGCAATGAGCAGGGATGAGATAAAATCCTTTCAGAGCATCTTGAGTACAATACATGTGAAAATATATTGCAAACTGAGATAAATAACAGGTAGTTGACAAGAGTTGGCCCAGACCGAATTGTTTCATGGATGTGATTTGATGGGAGACTAGGAGGAGCATTGGCATGTGCTGCCAGAGCACTGTTAAAAGCTGTACGACTGTGAAAGCTGGAAGGTGCATGGAAGGAATGCACAGGGTGTAGAAGTGAGGAGGTAGGGGATAAAAAGGATAGGGGGAATGTAAGCCAAAACTTAAGAAAGGCAAAGGGTTTTGTGAGGGCTGAATGATGGAATGCTTTCAAAGTGAGACTAAGGTAGAAGAGGAGAGACATATAGCCTTTGGCTTGCTATCCTCATACAATATCTGTGGAACTAACAGTGTATTTGAGCAGCAGTGGCTGAATTTGGTATCAAGTCTTGTCATCACCCCTTATAAATGATCCTTTAGACAATTGCATGCATACAACAGCAATAGCCTGTTTGAATAGAAATTGTGTATCCTGAGGACTGCTTCAGGACCCTTTCGACTGAAAAAAGCTAGGATGAGAGGTAAAAACATGGAGCTCAAAAGAAATCAGTGATTGCCCTGTAGGCTTATGTGTGAACAAGACTTGTGGAAAACTGCTCTCATCTGCCAGTGGCCAAGCAACAGTCTCCCTGACCTTATCTGTTGTTTTTGTATGAGTTAGGATGTTTGCACTGTGCACTGTTTCTCACAAGGTGGTTTTATGAAGATCAGTGCATGGATGAGACCGCTCAAACCTGGCAGGTGTCTTTGACTTAAGAATTGCAGGGAAGCCCAGAGGTAAAAGACAGGCTGCCTTTGTACCTGTTGATCTTGTCAAATCCTTCAATGACATAAGCAAACAGAAGTTTTCCTGACCTGTGGGAATTCTCCACATTCCCCTTGCCACACCCTCGACCCCAAGTTCATGTTTTGCAAAGTGCTTTGATTTTGAAAACAAGGATTATTGAGCACATTTGGGGAAGTATGATCTCCTAGAAGAATGAAGATTTCAAAGTTCATGTTGATCTTAAGTTTTTATAGACTTGGTATCTTTTCTCAGAAAGATACCAATAGTGTGTTACTGCTGACTCAGCGTATATATGCCATAATTCTTCTTTTGCAATACCTGCATAATGTGAATGGGATCCCTTGGAATTATGCATCACATGATGTTTTGCTTTAGTTTTCCCCGCATAACATGCGTAAGAAGGGCATGGAGATAAATCTGTCTTCAACTTCTTGGGGGTGTAGTGAAGAGAACAAAATGTTCTACCATCGAAAGGGTAGTTTAAGGACCTACCTTTCTTATTTCCCCTCTGGGAGTTTTAGGATTAAAGGTGATACACAAAATTATTATTGTGCAAGTCAGTTTGTTGTATGATTGTGTAATTCATGTGCAAATCTGGTGACTGCTTGGTAAAGTGAAAAAAGAACTGGCAGAAACTGGAGGCTAATAGAGAACAGAATTGAAGCATTAAAGAAGTTAAGCAGTTTTCCCCTTCCTACATTATGAAACATGCAAATAGCAGCCTGAGGAAAGCCAGTTCTTCAAAAAGTGGGAAGTTCATTGATCTGAGTTTAATAAAAGGGAAGAAGGTATCACAGCTAAAAGGGAACATTAACTGAAAACAAATTTAATGTTAGGCTTGAAAATCTTGCACACTGTTCATAAGGCAATGAAGTATTACTGCAGCAAACAGTTGTGTTGAACTCTGCTGTCTCCAGTGCCACTTTGGCACTGATGGAGATTTGCTCTGGTTGCAGGGACAGTGTGCCACATGTTTTTTTAAGAAAATGGAAAAAGCAGGCACTGAATAGGTTTGTGATTAAAGGTATACAGGTTCCTAGGAGGGAGGAATATTGCTTATTTGGATTTTGTAACTCGCAGCAAACATTTATGTACATGACCCAGAATGGAGAGTATAGGTTACTGAATGGTTGTGATTTGGCTGCTTCTGCTAAAAGATCCAAGCCTGTATTATCAATGGAGGAAGTACTGCGTGATTTAGTATTGTAGTAGAATGATGTGTTATTGGAGGAGGTAATTCTTGAGTAATCTCTGGCACTGAACTAAAGTTACTGTGATATCAGATTTCAGTTATTAAAGCAGAAAAAATGCCCAAAATACCTGTGCTACTGCAAGACCCAAAGAGGTCTTTGTATTTTCTGAAGGTAAGACGCTTTCTAAGGGATTATGTGTTAGCTTAGCTTATTTATGTAGAAGCAGGTATCATCTTTTTGTTATTAATTTATTTTTTTAATATGTATTCCACATGAGGATGTCATTTCCCTTTTCATGATGGGGAAGTCAGGTTTCGTTAATTCTACCTGGGTGTTGATTGTGGTTTTTTTTAACTATTTAAGTCAAGGAGAGAAAGTCCTTTGAAATATTGATTCCCCTGTAGGCTACTATACTGCTCTTCAGGTTCTGCCAGAGCTTTGGTAATGGAAATGAGTTGCATAGAGGTAGTATCAGTACCAGCTGCAGAGATTTCCACAGCCCAGCAGCTAGTTTGGCATTGTCTTGACTGGAAAACAAAGATCTCAGTAGTACATATATGGGAATGCCTTCTCCAGGTTTAGGGGCAAGGCAAGAGTCATAAATAGTTTAGTGGTGTCTGTTTGGGCCACTTTGAGTATTTGTGGTCTTGAAACAGTTGTAAAGGGTACTTGTATTTTTCCTGTAGCTCCCACTTTTCTCATGTTTGCTTGTTGCATATCTGCTGTCTGTTTTGAACTTCAAGGACTCTTTTGCTATAGTTAGAAAACTAACAGGTTGCTAGTTTAAAATTCTTAATGATAAAAAGTAGCTTTTTGTGAAAGCACATGATTCATGGCACTATGAATAATATATGAATTGTTAGTAGACTAAGTCAAGTAGATTAAATATTCAAAGTCCAAATCTAAAGTAGGCTTTCAATAACTCACTTAAATTATTCTTAGGCATTCAGTTACAAGTGAACAGGAAGCTATGATAAATGCATTATTTTTCAGGTCCAAGGCCTGCCGTGTTTCTGCAGCATGGTTTGCTTGCAGATGCCAGCAATTGGATCACAAACTTGGATTACAACAGCCTTGGCTTTATGCTGGCAGATTCTGGCTATGATGTATGGCTCGGAAACAGCAGAGGGAACACCTGGTCCAGAAAACACACACACTTCACAGTGAAGCAAGAAGAATTCTGGGTTTTCAGGTATCCTTGTCTTGCTAGGTTACTGCGTATGCTGTTTGTGAGCAGGCTTCTTTTCCTCTTTGGCCATCATCTTAGTTCAATCACATCGTGAATGTGCAGGGTATTTTTTTTCTGATCACATATGCTGTTACATATGCAGGGGCAGTAAAGGGGAGTTTCTTGGTCAGTATAGCATCCTGAGACAGCCTGGTCAGTAGAATTTGCTTTTACCTGTGCTTGGTGTGTAGATGCAGTTCTGCTTCATCCAAAGGAAGCTTTTCTTTATGTCCAGGCAACTGATCTGCAGTGCAGTAAAGCTTTGTGCAGCTGTTCCACACTGATAACTGTACTTACACAACTGACTTTTTATCTTTGCTTTGTAGCTTTGATGAAATGGCTAAGTATGACATTCCAGCCTCAGTGGACTTTATTTTGAAGAAAACTGGCCAGGAACAAGTGTTTTACGTTGGTCATTCACAGGGCACCACAATGGGTATGTGAAGAGATGCATTTGTTAGAATATATTGTGTTTGAAGTTATATCAAGTTCCACATATGTGGTTTAATGATGAAAAAATAGGGCATTTGTAATCTACTGCTTCTGGGTTTTAGGTGCTTCCTGGAATAGTTGTCAACATTAAAATGAAAGACTTTTTCTGTGTTTACTTAAAGTGGGAAGCTGCTGAAAAGATAAATTGAAGTCACAGGTAGCTACCAGTACAATTTCTATTAAAATAAATTGATGAACTGTGGATAATAAAATGAGAGTCATCAGATGTGTAGAATAAAGAATCCTATTTACAGAATATTTTGCTGTACATAAGACCTGGTTCAGGTGCTTTTAGACCTGCAGAGAGAAAGCGCTAGAAGAATGTTGGGTGAGTTAGCATGAATTTGCTTTTCAGAAGAAAACAATCCTTCTTATTTGCCTCATTTTTGCAGTATCTAAACTTATCCTACATAAAACAATCAAACCATTAATCTAAAAGTACTTTTGTGCACTTGCTCTTAGATTTTTATAGAATCATTGCCATGTAAAATTCCCTTCTAACTTGCGCCATTGAGGTTTGTTAATTATTCTCTTGTTATTTACAGCTTTCATTGCTTTTTCAACTTTGCCACAGCTGGCTAAGAAAATCAAAATGTTCTTTGCCTTGGCACCAGTAGCTACAGTCAAGTTTGCCACTAGCCCTCTGGCAAAATTAGGAGTGTTTCCTGACCTGCTACTCAAGGTTTGTATTTTAGCATAAATGTTTTAAGCCAAACGGGGTGCCTCCCTTTCTAATTGAAAACAGCATAGCAAAGGCTTAATAGCTGTGATTAGAGAGTAACATATTTGACAAGAATACTGCCCAGTTTCTCCATAATAATGCTGTGGAAGTAAACAGTGACTTTTCTGGTTTTATACTGCATAATGAGACAATTTGCATCCATTTAAAGTAATATTTTACAAGCTAATATGTGGAATAAACTATGTTTTTCCATGTTTCTAGAATTTCAGCTACAGAAATCACACGATTAATTAGTCAGTGTGTTTTAGAAGAGTCACATGATAGCTTTAAATACAGAATACTTCTGAATTGTCATGAACTTTAACAGATTTGTTTCACAATTAACCATTTAGTATTGGAAGAGGATCCTTCAGAGGATGATTAAGAGCAGCAACTTTATTTAGATGTTGTGAGTCATGCTCTGGAGGAGTTTAGCTTTCCCCATAAGCCTCAAAGGGTATGTAGGCAGACTAGCAGGTTGCAGTGAGTGCCTGAAGTCAGACATTGTGAACACACCACTGTGTCATTTTTAACCATCGCTTTTCTTTCCACCACCCATGGAGATTCCCACACAGAGCTGTTTGTTGTAGGAGATACACCCATCTCTAATATTCCTTGTACAGATTTAATGCTGTACAGATTTAAGTACATGTCTCTTTACATTATTAGTTCCCTGCTCCAAAGGCAGTTAACTTAAAAGCAATACTAACAGCTGTAATCTCCTGTTCCTTGTGTAATGAACTTTGTCTAATGAGAGCAGTAGCTGATCAGTGCCTTCTGCAGATGTTCATGTTGTGCTGAGGAACTTGATTCTCAGGGTGACTTGCAAAAAGGCTAGAGTGCAGAAGTATGTGACAGTGAGAAACCCATGGGTCAGTTTTATCTTTAAAGAGCTGTGTCACTTCTAAGGAAGTTCTCAGTGGGCCATTTTTAAATCCTTGGATGTTTTAAAAATGCCCATCAAGAGGAAGTAGCCACCACAACTCATGTGACTTGTTTTTCTTACATGATTTGAAGAGAGGAAATTACAGCTACAAAGCCATTAACATTAGTAGACACAGCTTAACATACTTTGATTCTGATGACAAGACAGTGTACAGTATTCTGTAAAATACTGAATTTAAAATTGATTTGGATTTGAGGTCAGGTTTGGAATTCTGGAAAGATTGTCCTAGTTCCCAGGTGCTTTTTGTGGGATTTAATGGACTGTATGATTTGGAGCAGAAGCACTAACCGTGACCTTCTGGATTGGACTGTAAACAAGGTTGATAAGGGGATAAATAATTTTCATGACACACCTGTCACCAGAGCAAATGGAAATAATTACCTCAAGAATGTCGTGGTATGAAAACTAAACCCAACTCATTCTATGCAATTACATATTTGTCCTATGTTGTTTTGTAGGACATGTTTGGAAAGAAGCAATTCCTCCCTCAGAATTTTTTGCTGAAGTGGCTTGCTACCCATGTTTGCACTCACAGAATACTTGATGACCTTTGCGGCAACCTGTTCTTTCTTCTGTGTGGTTTTAATGAGAGAAACTTGAATATGGTATGTTCTAGTGGCTTTTAATAGCTAAGTTCTTGCGAACTTTAACATAGTATTAACTGTGTATTGCTGTACTGATTGTCCTTTACATGTGATTAGAAAACCCCTAATGCTGCCTTCATCATACTGAGTTTGGATTAGTATCTTTTCTTGGTATAGATTAGTTGTGCAGTTATGATGGATAGAATTTACCTTTTAAAATGTTACTGGAAAGCTAAAATACATTATTTTCGATCTGCTGGCAAAGTGGGTAAAAGAAATGATTTAATATGATGGTGCAAGTATTTAATTGCTTTTGCAATGAAGTGAGGAAGAAAGATCTAGTTTTCAACTATTTTCAGAGAACCGTTGAAGTTTTCTGTTCTTTTGGTGGACATGTGCGATTATTTTCTCTGGGACCAATTTCTGACCCTGATGATGGCTTCATCTGTGGTCCGAGTTCCAGAAGGCTTGTTCATAGGACTTGTTTTATTGTCTAAAAGCCAGTTAACAGAAATCAGTATGAGACCACCTTTCTTCACAATGCTTCTTAAAGCGTTTCTAACTCCCTGAAATCAGTAGAAGGTGATATCAGTTTACCCAGAGGTGATTCTCTGTTTGGTTTTTTATATCAAGGTGAAAGTGCATTTTTTGGATGTTTTCTTACCCAGCACATGCAGTTTTCATGGTTTTAATGGTGGATAGTATTTTTTTTTTTCTTCCAGGAATTAAGCTTCCCCTGGGTATTTGTACTTCTAAACTCAAAGTGTAAGAGGTTCTGAATCACTTTGGACTGACAGCTACTAGTTTAGCTGTAGAGCAACAGAAGGTTTCTCTGGAGGTCCATCTAAATATTAGTTAATGTGCTCCCAATTCTTACAACACTAGCATTTTTAAAATAATATATGAAAGATGTTTAAGGGGTATCATTATGAGATTTAAAGTTCTTTAGTTAATTGTAATTATTCCCCAGACATTTGAACTTTTTACCTCATCCATAGGTATGGTTCCAGTTAACTTTTGTTTATAGCAATTTTAAGAGGAGTGGAAAATTTTGTATTGTTCAATAATGGGTAGAACTGCTGCACTATGAGGAGTAAACCATGTTAATTATCTTGTTGCAGAGTCGAGTGGATGTGTATTCAGCACACTGTCCTGCAGGGACATCTGTACAAAACATGATCCACTGGAGCCAGGTAGAGTTTCCAGAATCTAAAATGTCCATGGCTGTCTTGCTTATAGGATATTGATGTATCTGATATTTAAACTGAATAAAATGCCAAAATATATATGCAGCATAGGTTGAGTGAAATTTTGGAACTACCAATTTTCAGAGTGGCAGCTGTTCACTGATGATACTGACTTAAGGTGGCTCACCCCTTTTGTTTATTTCTTTGGAGATATGGTAACTATAAGTACCTCAGGCCAACTATAAGTACATCAGGCCAACAAACAATACAATGGAGAAGCTAAATTCAGAGGGATGCTGTAACAAGTGTTTGCTCCCCTTTCAGCAAACCCTGGTTTGATTAAAAGTTATATTTTTAGCCAGCGAAAAGCATCAGGCATTCTGTTCTGTTCTCTTTGGCTTCATTTTATATTTTATTAGTATATTTTGAATTTCACCTTGTTGCACCATTTCATGACTCTGACATTATTGTGCCTGAAGCTTGCTCTGCGGGCTGACAAGAAAGAGAAGGCATTTGCCATGGAAGCTGTGGTCAGGGCTGCTTGTGATGTTGTAGCTCTTCAAGTGTTGGCTCAGAAAAAAATTTGTGAAGACCTTTTCCTCCCCACAAATTCCTGTTATTTAGACTTCTGTTTCTGAAAAATAATAGATGATAAATCATGCAGAGTAGATTTCTAAGAAAGCTTCATGCTGTGTTCATGTACCTTCAGACAGCAAGGTAAATATTTCAAAAGTAGTCATGGAGCTGCCACATCCTGACTTTGGATACACTGAAGTGTTTTCCTTAATCTTTCCTACTGGTGCTATGAAAGAGTGTGGAATCTTAAAGGACAAAGTCTAATGGTGGTGAATGTCAGTGTTTCCCACTCTTGTGATGCTGGGCAAAGCAGTGACACTTGTTAATATTTGGCATTTCACTGTTTCTTGTGTCAGTTTTCTCTGCCAGTTCTCCAGATTACCTACACTTTTTTTTATTCCTGAGATAGAAGTGTTGCAGTTTTTCTTTGTATGTGTGAATATTTATTTATTTCTAGGCTGTGAAGACTGGGGAACTCAAAGCTTATGACTGGGGAAGCAAGGCTGCAAATACAGCTCACTACAACCAGGTAGGCATCTTTTATGGATATGATTCTTTAGTGTCACAAAAAAAACTCCTAGGGCACTTCTCTGGGTGCTGTGTTTATGCTGCACGCTAAAGAGCCACCCAGTAACCAGACTGGAGACTTGCCTATTAACATACACACACTCACACACACGTATTGCTTGTCTCCAGCCTGTTTAATCTCCATGTAGTTTTCAAATTGCTATGTGCAATACTGAAGATATTTTACCCCTTGTCAAATTAGTGATAAGTAATATTGCAGTATGATACTTGCAGAGTAGCAGTCACTTTTAGTATTTGATTAGGGTTCAGAAATAACTTGAGTGGGATGCATCTGAGACTTCTGCTACCCTACTGTCTTGTAAGCTCCTCAAGCACATGTTTACTGCTATGTGTGCTATAATATGGCAGGACTCTTGAGAATTATGTTTTCTGTTGAGTCTGAACTCCATCTCTAGCTGCCCAAGAGAGGAGGAGAAAATGAGAATCTGAGACATTCTTGAATTTGCTAGTATGTTACACTGCAATGTAGTATCACACTGGAGAGTTTTTCTGTCTAATGCTTTTGGTTTTGCTTTCCTTCACTCAGTCTACTCCCCCTTTCTACAAAATAAAAGAGATGACTGTACCAACTGCGGTGTGGACTGGTGGGCATGACTGGCTGGCAGACCCAAAGGATGTTGCTATGCTGCTCACTCAAATCACAAACTTGGTTTACCACAAAAATATTCCAGAATGGGAACATTTGGATTTCATCTGGGGCCTTGATGCACCTTACCGCATGTATAATGAAATAATTAACATGATTAGGAAGTATGTCTAAACTAACATGGTATTTCAGAGTCATAGCTCACCACTCAAAGCTCACCAGAAATTCATCTTTTTGGAACATATGCTTTTCTGTCAGTAATGCTACATTGTTTATTTATGATGCATTTTTAAAATGCCAGCAATGACCACTGAATTAGATTCATATTTGGTTAGTTTTTTCTCAATGTTATTTCTCTCTCCTGCATAAATCCTCAGTGTACCCTGCTGATTTTGCACACACCAGCATGGTACTCGAAAAACAGCAGTGTGGCTTTGCAGAAAAGGAGTATGTCATGTGCATATAAATTTAGTGACATGTCTGAAAGACAAGTTAGTTCATCCAGCACCTCAGGTGCTTGACAGTTAAAGCAATAAATACTTTACTGTCCATAAAAGACACTGCCGTTTCTCAGTACATTGCCATTTCTGAATACCTGTCAGAAATACTCCTTGTACTGCAGTGACCCATTTGCTGCTGGTCCATTAAAAAGCACTTAATGACTTCATTATTTGAGCCATCACATACAACCTAGCTACATTAGATGATTTTCAATATTGCCCAGAAGAACTGCCATGAAACCAGAGAAGATCATCACTGTCAGTTGAAATCTACTGTTTTGGTAGTGATTAATTGCTGCATTTTTTCTTGATTTAATGCTGATGCCTTTCATGTTTCACATACCAGCTATGGATAAGGATCATTGCAGGAATCTGCAAGGGCAAGTAAAGAGAAGTAGTTGAAAGTAGTACCACTTTCAGATAGCTTTGTCAGTAGGTTATGGCTTTCAAGGACAATGATACTTGTGTTTTGTTTTCTTTGCACTGACCACTAAAAAACAAGCTCCTCAGTATACTACTGATGAGGGAAGAGCCAAAGCATTAATTTTATAGCTTGAGTGACTTAATTTGCATGGACTTTTCCCTTTACTTATCTGCTGCTTTAAAGGTATGTTTACTTCTTAGCTTGTGGTGCTTGCCACTGTTGTGTTCAGGAACCACACAACATCCTGGTGAAGCCTGGCAGTATTAATGGCAGTCTCCATTTGTTTCACTTTCCACCTCAAAGGGTGACTAAGCCCCCCTTTAATGGGGGAAAGGAATCGCATCTGCTTTAAGGGTCTGACTTTGGAGCTGTGATTCTCTGTGGTATAGGTGCCTTGCTCTTTTCATTGATTATGCAGAAGACTTCGGCTCCTCTGAATTACACAAAAGTTCCATACCAAATGCAGATATGCAAACAACCTCCAGAGTCAGTTGCCTCAGTCCAGATCATCTCTGTGCCATGCTTGGATTCAACACAGATTTCTCTCAGTAATCCCAACAAGATAAAACCCCTTTTCAACATGGCATAGAAAATAGTGCATTTTAAACTGAGGCAAACTTTCTTTTTTTTTTAATAAAAAAAAAGAGCAAAACTATGCATAAACCAAAAATTAGGTTGTTTGTGTGTTTTTTTTTTTTTTTTTTTTTTTTTTGTAGTTCCTAATTCAGACTCAGGGAATCCTCAGGCTTTGTTTAAGGAAAAAGTGATTCATCCTATTTCAGTTGTGATTCCTATCAGGGCCTCCAAGTTTGCTTTATATTTGTAGCAGCCGTATTTGCTCCACCTTGCTGTGCTGAAAGGAAGTTTCTGTTGGAATCTAAAGTGGCTGACTTAGTGGTTGTGAGGGAATGTGATACAGCAAGAGCTGTGTGCATCATGTTTGTTAAGCTTGAAATATTTCAATAAACAAGATTGCTGCTTGGAGTTCAGAGCGATGTGTTGTGTTTCACTTCTTGTTTCATGAATGCATGTGAATCTTTGGGACAGAATCCAGAAAGCTGTCTGTTTTTCACAACTATTCAGCCATAGAACAAGTACATTAAAATAAATAAAATCGCCAAGTAAGCTTGCATTTTACTTGGGTCCTGAAAGAGGCTTTTACTAAGCCTAAAAGGACTTTAATGTTGTTTTGGGGGGACTTCTCCAAGACATTTAAGTAAGGTACCAATTGTAAATAACTACTCACAATGCAGAGACACTTTCTAACCTTTCAAACCACTGACATGGTGGAAAGCATCTTGTATCCCATTCTTAAACTTTGGGTAACTGGGTTGCTTAACAGACTGGTAATTTCATAAATAGCATTTAACCACATAGTAAAGCAGGGAGCTAATCTCTGCCATGGTACGCTTGACCCAGCTTTGGACTTTTGTCATCTTCAATCATAAATGTGTTCAGGCTGTAAAGTCTGTGTACAGCAGATGTGCAGTCAAAAAAGCAGGTGTGTTAAATTCTATGTGTTGTCAGCTTTGCATGCAGGTGAGCTCCTTGTGTGCCTGGAAATATAGCCAGAATAGTGGAAAAACTTTTCACAAAAGCCATTGTGGAGTTTTGCTGGAGCAGGGGTGGCTATGGGAATGGTCAGCTGTTGTGCTCTCCCTGGCTTGCTAAAATTACAAGCACTGTGTGACACAAACTTGGAGAGGTGTCAGTGAAAAGAAGTGTGCAAAATAAGACACCCCAAACATCTTTTTGGAGGAGAGAATCTCGGTGTAATAAGAATGAGCAGCAATGGATGGTGCATCTTTCAAAGCAGATTTTACATGCTTAGTGTGTGGTCTGTAGACATCTTTGTGTTAAGGGTGTATATATATGATGTTGAATGTTGGCTGAATGTCAGCTTTGAATAATAAAAAGTGCACTGGCATAACAGAGGGCATCAGACCCCTTCTGCTGACTTGGTCTCAGCATTTAGTGATGTGATCAAACTATGCCAGAAAGCCAAAAGACAGTAGTCCCTGTTCAGCTGATGGATTGCCAGGCTCACAGGCCTATGTCTGAAGTGAGTGCATGATCCAGGGCTTTGGCTTAGAGATGTACAACACAACCGGGCATACAAGGATTACACACACATAACATTGTTTTGTCCACTTGAGCTTGGAACTTGGAAAACTTCTTTTTTTTTTTGTGGTCATCATCTGCAAATATATTCACACCATTCATTTTGTGCAGAAGGCCTAAGGGTGGTAGAATGCATGTGTGTCTGTTGGTGCTACGTACTGAATGATGTACTAGCTCGATGCAAAGCATCTTTATGCTATTCAGTAATTCTGTAGATAGTGGTAACACTGACGAAAGTTTACACATCAACCAAAACAGCCTCGAAGTGCCTCAGAATAGGAAGAGATGACAAAAGAGCTCCTCCTCCCTTGAGCCCTGTAAGAGAAAAAGTGTTGCCAGCTTGGGAACAAAATAAACCAGTTTTCCATAAATTACTCTTTATGGTGAATGTGCCATTAAAAAAAAAAAAAGGAAACGTGAATAATACGGAAAATTACAAATAGCTTTAATCTGTAAGGTATGAGAGATGGCTGGATGGGTTTTCTGGTATATAACAAAACATGGGTCTCAGTGGAAGATTGTCCTACGCTAAAGCACTTCCAATATCTTGTCCCTTTCTTTGAGATCTTACAAAACACAAAGTCATGCTACAGCATTGCCCATCACGAGCATTCTAGTAATGGCCTCTCTTCTGCAGTAGCCTATTTTCAAATAACTTTCTATGAACAAAATCATTGAAATCATCAATTAAATAAAAGATTACCAAGGCTGGATAGACAGTGCCAATTGGATAGACCTGGAACATGATTGCCTAAGTCTTATTTTCTAAGGATACTGGTCTGAAAAATGTCTGTATTGCATTCTGACTCTTCCAGAAATGATGCACATGTGCAGTTGTCGAGGATGTGAATCAGTTTTTCACTATGGAGTTATGAATTCTGAATGAAAGACTTTTAGAATCTTTTCCTGATGGTTATTGTTTGTAGAGCTGATCCTGATAATGTAAAGCTTGAGAATTAACTATTTACTTTGCTGGCAGCTTTCCGTCCACAGCCATTGTTAGGAATGAATTTAAAAGACCCATAATTAAGCTTTCTTTCTGTGCTGGCTGGGGAGGTTTTCAGTAGAGCTTGAATGGGGAGGTGGGGTGTTGGTATGGAAATATTTTGATTCAGAAAATGTGTTAGTTCTGTTAGGAAAAGTACTTTGTGTTTTCATCAAAACTGAGGAGGAATGTGTGTCTTCTTCATCCTCAAGTACTCAGCATACCCAAGGGCTCAGGGGATGCGAGGAACAGAGGCTCGTGTCCATGCTGTGGATTGAGATTCTAGATTTGAAACCTAAGGGGACTGTAGGTTGGAATGATGTAAATATGCAAAGTCCCTCTTTCCTTCCCCACCTGTAACAAATCTGTGCCTACCTGGCTGTCCTGCCGCAGAAAGGTGTTATCCCTGAGAGTGGTAACGAAGCCCGGGATGTATTTCCTGGTCCCTGTAAAGTTAAGCGCAAACCCGCATTCACTCCGGCAGCCTCCGCTGGGGAGCGGGCGGGCTGTGCGCGGCTCCTGCGCAAGGGGGCGCTGTTGCCCGCGCAGCGGAGCTGCGTCGCGGCTCGGCGGGGTGCGCGGGGGGCTCCGGCCCCGAACCGCGCGGAGCCCTGGGGCATCGCGAGTCAGCCCGGTCCGGCGCGTCCCTCCCGCTCAGGCTCCCGGACAGAGGTGAGTTAGGGTGCGAGGACCGCAATCCCTTTTGATGCGAGAGAAGGAGCTGCCGCTGCCTGCCTGTGCTCGTGACTGTCCTGCTTCCCTGCTACTGCCTTCACCAAGTTCCCAACCCGCTTCCCCAGCACCCTCTTTCTTGTAGAAGGCTCGGCATGCACTGGGATGTTGCCCTATCTTTGGTACGACAATAGTCCCCTCATACAGAGAGGGAGAAGAGGAGGAGGGATAAAGACGTTTTGCCTCTCCTGCTGTGACATCAGTTTCTGTGACATACTTTCAGTACGTTGATCCTAGTTTTCCCTCTTGCTGCCTCTTCCTCATTTTCCTACCCACTTAGTGTTTTGATGTTTACCTTGCTGCTTGTACCTAACAGAGGAGCCTGGGGTAGGTGCTTGCGTCTTGTGCTCATGTGGAATCTATTTCAGACCCTTTGCGGGGCCTCATTCCAAACTATGTGCCCTTCAACCTAAACTCTGTAGCAGGAGTCTTGATTTTTTTGAGACCCATTTAGAGTCTTGTAACATACGGGGAGGTTTGGCAGCATCTTAAGTCGGGTGAAAAGAAAAAAAAGCCAGAGTTGTGTTGCTGAATTAAATACAAAAAGGATTAGTGTTCACTTTGTCTTCATGTTGTACCTTACGCTGACAAAGAAACATGAGTTAGTGGAGTGGAAATATGTGAGCAGTGCTTTTTGGTGGCTAAGCCAAACAGCATGAACTATGTTACTGGAGAGTGAAGTTTTGCCTTCTGATGCACAAGGATTCATTTTTCTGAGCTGTCCCACGGAGCGCCAGCAGAACGGGACAAGTTCTACACATTCTGTGCCTTGCTTGGGCTTCATGTTGCAGGGTAGACTGGTAATAAAACTGCAGAATTCTGTTATTTTTCCTTAAGGGATTTAAGAATATTTTTCTATGACCTAATCTGCAGGCAAAATGCCTATTCTTTAGATTTTAGCTTATAGGCGGCACTGGTTCTAAAACTTCTTGGGACTTCACATGGCTATTAGGGATTAGTCAGAAGAGTGTCTTCAAGGCAGCTGAGCAATTTCTGTCAATGTCCCTTTAGGCAGATTTGGAATACATTATAGAATAAATTTAGTCCCTGCATAATTCTAATAAAATAGAGAATCATAGAACAGAACATAGAATAGTTAGGGTTGGAAAGGACCTTAAGATCATCTAGTTCCAGCCCCCCTGCCATGGGAAGGGACACCTCACACTGAACCTTGTCATCCAAGGCTCTGTCCAACCTGGCCTTGAGCACCGCAAGGGATGGAGCATTCACAGCTTCCCTGGGCAACCCATTCCAGTGCCTCACCACCCTTACAGGAAAGAATTTCCTCCTTATATCCAATCTAAACTTCCCCTGTTTAAGTTTTAACCCATTACCCCTTGTCCTGTCACTACAGTCCCTAATGAAGAGTCCCTCCCCAACATCCCTATAGGCCCCCTTCAGATACTGGAAGGCTGCTATGAGGTCTCCACGCAGCCTTCTCTTCTCCAGGCTGAACAGCCCCAACTTTCTCAGCCTGTCTTCATATGGGAGGTGCTCCAGTCCCCTGGACAGAGAATCTCGTGTGCCATCTGAGAGGCTTAATTTCTGATTATAACTACATAAATCAACAGAAAGCATCTCACAAGGATATTTTCAGAACCAGACAGTGATTGAGCTACAGATGCATTTTTCATGTCCTTATTGTGAAATAGATGTTGGAATAAAATACAATCAGAAAACAGAAATGAAGCTCTTGTATATAGAGCCTCAGCTATTAGATGAGTGTTTCTCACTGGGTTTTAGTTTCACTGCATTCAACACTTTGAATTAATTGAGTTCAAAAGAACAGTCTCACAACAGCAGAGAATCTGAATCCATTTCTAAAATGTATATGCAATGAGTAGAGTCTTTGAAGGCTGCACCATACCTGTCTCCAACAAAGAACTTCTGATTGCCTAAATAATAGCACAAATAATGTTGCTGTTTAAGTAAACTCCTTCATGTCTAAGGAGAGAACAAAATCTGCACTTCCTTAAGAGTAGAATCTCTATAAGAAAACGGTGGAAACTGAAAGCACATTTAAGTATTAGGAGAAATCCATGCGCAGTTCAGGAAAGGTCACTGCTAACTAATTATTCTTAATTATTGAGAAGCAAGGAAATTCTGTCTTGCATTCCCATCAGATTTAATTTCTGAATAGTGAAGAACTAA